GTTATATTTATATTTAAATTATTTTCAAAATCACAAAATCATCACTACTTTTTTTTCAAAACACGAAGCTAAAAAATAAAAATGGCCGACAATGCCCTCCCCTTCCGCTCACGTCTACGGCTTTCTTTGCTAGTTTTGAGGCTTTGGCTCCATCATTCTCTGCTACTGCTAATGTCTAGACTATATCCAGAAATTCCCCTATTCCAGAAATTCTCCAACAATTCTTTCCCCTTATGCTGCTTGACAATTCCCACCAACTATTCCTCGTAGGTCTCTATCTACACTTGGAACATTACCTGATTTTTTCTTTGCATATTTTGGCCCTATCATTTTAACTTATCACAGTTTATACTCCCTTCCCATGGTTGTTTCTTTTTGTTTTTGAAAGCTTTCTTTCTCTTTGGTTAATCTCTTTTATGGATCCATTATTGGCGCTTGAAGAACATTTAGTAGGAGCTCTGATGACTTTGCTTTGTCTCTTGTTACTTTGGTGACTATTATTTCTTCTGTAGTTGTTGCAGTTACTCCTGGTACGTGCATTCCTCGATCTTTCGTTAAAGTAGTTGAAGGGTGTTGTCTCAGTGCCCAATATCCAAAATTTTCTAATATTTCTCAGCAAGAATCTAACTTACCATAGCACAAGTAACCCTACACCTTTCATGCCAAAGTTGCTCTCTATTTCTATGAAGTTTAGATTTTTGATTGAATAGATTCATTCACTTTCTTTACTTTGAGAAAGTGTTTTTGTGGGTGTCTCAATTTTGAGATTATATATGGATTTCAGTCAGAATTGCGTGTTTAAATTACATCTTAAAGATTTTCTTATCTATATTGTTCTTATTGGATTATACGAAGAAGCGGATAAATGTAAAATGTTTTCACGTCAATTTTTTTTGTGAATCGTTATTTGATATGTATGTAGAGTGATCACTTTACTTTGACTCTTTCAATGAATCTCTAATTACTTTGATTTGGGTTGTTTTTTAATTACGTGCCAATTCACTTTATATTCGGTGTTCTATTTTTTGGTAAACATTCGTAAAGTGATTCTACTATTACATAATTTCTTAGGCTGCCTATGCCTGGGGTTTTTGTAGAAATGGACGTTACATTTTTTTGTAGGAGATTTGTTTCTTAAGTGGTTATTAGTAGACGATCGAATTTTAAGGCTTTAAGTTCTTTTTATTCTTCTTGCAATACTTTTGTATTACAAATATGCAGAATGCTTCAAGGCTCACTTTGAACTAAGAAAATCATTTTAAATAGATCCTAACGGTCATAAAAAATGACTTATTGTATAAAAATTGATCTTAATTTACTAGAACTAAATAAAAATATGACATTAGATAGGACGCAATGGAGAAAAAGGATTCATGTGGCCGACCCGCATAGTGGTATTAAGGCTTTATTGTTATTGTTGATCATGAAAAATTGGGAGCATACAAATGGTCATAATGCGCCTGTAAATGTGGAGTTGTAGTCCCTCCTATTTTAAATTTTGTTTTGTGTACATTGGAAATGTGACTGCATGAATCTCAAGGAGATTTAACAGATCAAGCGAAGAAAGCAGCTAAAGGGTCGAGCTATCTAGTGTTATTTCGGTCGGTCGAATCATGGGCTGACCGAGTGAATGTTCGTCTAAACCAAAGAACACCCACACACCTGGACCAACAATAACTTAATCGATGCAAAGACATTCACAAGATCAAATATCGCTTATTGGAACTCTCACCTAATCTTCTATGATGATTTATTGACCGAAGGAAGACTACCTAGTAGATTATGGTGATGCACCCTATGTCAGATGAAATAATTCTTCCTGAAAACAATGAATGTTTAAGATGAATTCCCTCCAAAAAGTTGACTGAAGATTTATCATTCGATTGAATGACGTTTAGCCGACCAACCGAACGCTAAACGACCAAGTTAAGCAGTTACGAATACGAAATGGTGTCATGGGAAGCTACAGATATGGAACAGAGCCAACAATGGTTACCAGGGTCAAAAGATATCAAAATCAACTACAAATATGCAATACGTGTAATGACTCATAAATTCATTGCAACGTTCTTATTAAATGAGGGATGAATATGTAATCTACTACTAGACCCCCCTATGATCTATAAATAGGATGGTTTTTTTCACAGAAAATACTGTTGAATCTATTCATAGAGAATTAAAATTACTTGTGACTGTCGGTCAACCTTTTGATTTTGTAAATTGAAATTATTTTAAATTTAATTTAATATAATAGGTATGTAGTTTGGGTTTTGAAAGTAGTATGTTTTAATTTTTTGAAAAATGAAACCAAATGGATCTCATTCGTCCAATAGCTTGCATAATTGTGCCTGATACCGTGATCATTACACATTTCTGAAAGATGAGTATTGTTGACCTCATTTTTGTGAGGTCTTTTCTTC